TATCTACCTTTTTCATCATTTGTGCCCGTAATTCTAAGTTCTTAAATCTGCTTGGGTTATCAAAAGCTAATTCATAGCTTGAAGCTTCTTAGGACTACCTGCTTACTACAAGTGCAGTACACAGACATCAGCAGAATATGAGATGAGACCTAGGCATTTCTTACTGAATTAAAGTCAAAGTTAGAAGAAATGGCATTAAAGGAAAATATTAGCTCATTTGTACTTTTTCTAAAATTTCAGCTATGCCAGATTAATTTGCATTCTTTTATTTAAAAAAAAACCCAAATAAAACTTCTCTTCTATATTTACATTCCCCCCTTTGCTCTTGCCACTTATTGACATTTTTATGATGCTTATTAAGTATGTAACAGAAGTATGTATATCTTCAAGCTGGGCAATGTCAGAATCTATCATACTTTTCATGTTCTGATTTAAATCACATTTTTTGACTGTATTATATAACGGAATTATTTAACTTGACTTATCCTATGCTATTCACAATTAGAAAAGGGGTCTATACCATTCAATAATGGCTTTCAAACTTGTTCAAATGGCAGAGCACCTTTAATAAGCAGCTCACTAAAATACTATTGAAAATTTAAGTCCATTATGAAACCCCGAATAGATTTCATAGTTATAAGAAGTTGTACTTATCCTACATGCCACTAGAGCTTTTAAAATGCATAAATAATTAAGAAACCATGGGAGTGTTCTTAGATATATTTGCCATTTGTTTTATTAATCATTAAAAAAAGATTTGAAAAAACAGGCTCCATTTTAATAGAGAACACAATGGAACTGATCAAGGAATATTAATGTTTTGCTATTTAGGAACTATTCAGGGAGAAAACTGAGAAAATTTTAAGGTAAGAATATTAAAAATATGATACCTCAAATATATGCTTATACAGCCATAGCAACAATGAAGTTTCAGCAAGCTGGTCTATACTTCAAATATAATATTTAAATAACCCTTGCTGAACTATAATTTTTTTTAAATTAATATCTGTGCTTATATCAAATTCAGTGGTTTACGTAAACAATCATTTTGGTCCTATTTTCTGCTGTACTGTTCAGTTTTTACAAGAACATCCTTCAATCAGCAAATAAGTTTAGTTCACACAAATGTTAAGGCATGTAGTCATGAAACAAGCTAATTTTAACTCTAAAGTACCCCCTTACTTGTCCTCAAACACACACACATAACCCTTCTTATTCACACCTGTTCTCTAAAAACTTATGTGCCTTTACACTATTAAATATAATTTGAGATATAAATGAACAATGTAAACTACAATTATAATTCTAAAAAATCAACAATTTTTTTCATTAGTTATTTCTTCAAGCTACAATCCTTAGTTCAGTGATCCCAGAATTGCTTTATAAAGCTATCTTGGTATATGTATATGAATATCATAATTAAGACTCAAAAAAAATTTGTAGTGGTGGTGGATTTATGATTATGAAAAAGACACTAACATTTTGTCTTATGATTATGAAAAGGACACTAATGCTCCTGCTGAATATAGGTGGTAACTAGGCACAACAATTAAACTTTCTATGACTTGCTAGAGAATGATGTGCCTTTCTAAATAGGAATCAGGTTTTGAATAAAGTGAAAACTGAGAGAAGCATTCACTCATTCTATTTGCAAAACAAGAGCAATATATTCTCAGTAAAAAAAAGAAACAAATGTGGGAAGTCAAGCACTAATACTAGCTGGTAAAATTTACAAATATTTTAATTACATACACCCTATTTTTTTTAAACAAAACATATACATATTAAAAAGAACAGCTTCAAATTTCTTCCAAATTTGCTTTCAGATGTAGGTGAAAAAAAGCAGATAAACTTTATAGATTTCTTACTGTCCAACTCTCATGAAATATTCAAACTAATATTCCATTAAGAAGATATGCAATGAGGCACACTTTCTAGTGGCTGACACCCTCTTCTAAACCAAAAGAGAAAAGGTAAGGGTATAAACAGCAAAGTAGTTGTTTAACATTTTCTCATTTCTATAATTTTACTCATTCTGCATACTTTTAGAAAATAAACTCCTGTTTTAACTAAGACTATTAAGTACAAAACTATTTGTTGTTTCATTTGTAGATATAGAATTCTACAAACATCTGCAGCAAGCTCATAAAATGCTTCTACTGTCCATATTATCTATGTTTAATATACACCAAGTGTTTTGATTAAACAAAGCTAAGCTATTCACAAAAAGCTGCAGAAAATTCATGCTATTAATCAAGATTAAAATTTATAAATTAAAAACATGGTCATCTATACATAATGTACAGTCATGCATCAAAAATGAATACTTTGTCTCCTAAGAATAATTTTCACAGGCAAATGCTGTTGCACAAATATTTGCTAATGCAAACGAATGGATTCTTTGTAAATCTGCACTAACACTTTAACCCCCCAGAAGTTAAAACTTTTGGCATTTTTCTCAAAGGCTGTCCAAAGTTGACATCTGTGGGGAAAGTTTCAATTCTTTTGCATGTTTCAGGTGCTTCATCAAGAAAAATTTCCTAAGGCTCAGGCACAACAAATATGAATTTTTAAAAATCAAATATAAATACCTTTATCAGTTCAGCAAAAATTTCAAATAAAAATTTTACTTACTTTATATTACATATTTCACCAGCGTTATGTGTGATTTAACGAAGTGTAAAATAAAATGTATGGTTTTGTTTCTAGTTTTTGCTTTCACATCTCAGTAAGATAATTAAATTTCTTGAAAAACTACGCACAGCAGCCAAGAAAATACATTATACAGGTGGGGTGGGGGGGAATCTTACATACTGAACTTACAAAATTGAACTTACATAATAAGTGACTATTTTTCAGTGTCTGAAATGCTATCAACTTTATAAATAGTCTCTTTGAAATTGTGCTGTATTTCAGAACTTGTTTTATCAATGGAGAAATCCAGTGATGTTTAGAAAAAAAACTTCCAATTTTCTCTGAAAATACTAACTGGAATTTTCATGGGCTGGTGACCTCCAACGTGACTGCAGATTTTTTATTATAGAGTTTGCCATGCTACCTAGCTTCTCATGCATTTCAAACAGCTGGCTTCCTGAGTAATTATGGAGATCTTCTGAATCCAGCTGAAGGGCAAGAGCGCTGATCTGTGCCAAAAGATTTTTAGATAATGGGGTTTCTAAATTAACAGGATCAATCAAATCTAAAAGAAGAAAAAAAAAACACAATTATATCTGTACTAGAAAAAAATTAAATTGTTAGGTCATCTTCTAACTTAATAAAAAGTTTAAGTGCTTAAGTTTCAGATTGAGAGAGATGGCTCAGGTCTCCCTGTTCGTCAAGGAAACGAGGAGACAGAAAAATCTATTACAGCTTATTATTCTGTGCATTAAAGAACTATCCTTATTTGAGACCTTTATGGACTATAAGCAGACAATAAGAGAAAAGCAAGTAGACATTGAAGGAAATCAGTTATTTTTTCATACTTGACATCAAAGAAATTCTGTCATATTAATAAAGAAAGACCAAATTAAGTTAAAAGCCTAACAAATTAATATTTCTTCAAGGAAGTAGCTATCCCCCTTTGCTAAAATATACCTGAGGCAAGTCTTTCTTCATCAGGAAATAGAGATTTATTTTCTATTCCATTTATTGTTTTTTCAGAAATATCAAAAACTGGAATCTCTTCTAGTCCACGAGTTTTCACCTTGATTATACATTCGAAACAGTAAAAAAAAAAAGAATAAATAAGTAAAGCTTAAAACCAACAAATTAAAATTTACTTAATAAAAATGACAGCATAGACATGGTATACAAAATGTGTTCCACCACTTTAATTAATTTCTTAATAACGCTAAGAAATTATGTTCTACCAAACTATACAAAGCATTACAAATTACTTCCTCAAAGAGAGTTGAAAATTTACAATATGCCACAATGGCTTTCCCAGAAAAAAAACAGGTTAACTGAGAAAATTACATTGTACTTGCCAAGTTCAACAACGTGGAGAAAAAGAAATTGACAGCAGAGATTTCCAAGTTTAAATAGTATATGCATTTCTTTTAAAAATAGTACAATTTTCATAGAAGTTCCTAAAGCCTATGGACCAGTGACCGAGAAAACACGATTACATTCAGAAAGTTAAGAGTTACTATTTAGCAATTTCACTTCTAGGTATATATCCAAAAGAAAATAAAACATGTGTCCACACAAAAACTTATATATGAATTTTTATAGTACCATTTTTTTTTTAGAGATAAAGTCTCATTATGTTGTCCTCAGTAGAGTGCTATGGCATCACATTCACAGTAACCACAAACTCTTGGACTTAAGCGATTCTTTTGCCTCAGCCTCCCAAGTAGCTGGGACCACAGGTGCCTGCCACAATCCCCAGCTATTTTCTTATTTCTTACTGTAGCTGTCATTGTTGTTGGGCAGGACCAGGCTATGTTTGAACCTGCCAGCCCCAGTGTAGGTGGATGGAGCCCTAGCCGCTGAGCTATTGGTGCCAAGCCAATAGCACCATTATTTATAATGGTAAAAGTTGAAAAAAAGTGAAACATCTGCTAGCTGACAAGTGGACAAACAAAATGTAGCATATCCACGTAGCAAATATATTTTTTTCTTTTATTTATTTTTTTGTGGAGACAGTCTCATTTTATCATCCTCAGTAGAGTGCCGTGGTGTCACACTGCTCATAGCAACCTCCAACTCCTGGGCTTAGGCAATTCTCCTGCCTCAGCCTCTTGAGCAGCTGGGACTACAGGCGCCAGCCACAACGCCCAGCTATTTTTTTGTTGCAGTTCAGCTGGGGCCGTGTGTGAACCCGCTGCCCTTAGTATACGGGGCTGGCGCCCTGCCCACTGAACCTACAGGTACCACCCACAAATGTTTTTTCTTAAAAAAGCAATTCTAGCATGCAACAACATGGATAAACCTTGGAAACATTATGCTAAGTGAAATAAACCTGCTATCAAAGATCCCTGTTGTATGGCCCTACTTTTATCAAATGTCCACAATTAGCAAATCCACACAGAATATAAATTAGTGGCTGCCTATGGCTCAGGGGTAAAAATGAGGAGTGATAACTAATGGGGTCAATGTTTGAGTGATTAAAAAAAAGTTCCCAAACTAGATGATGGGGATGATTGTGTAACTGTGTGAATACACCAAAGACCATTTTAAAGTCATATACATTTAAGGATGAGTTAATTTTATAATATGTGAATTGTATCTTAATAAAGCTGTTAAAAACATACATAAAGAATTTTCAGAGACATTCCCAGGGCTCATGGAAATTTAGAAATTCTTCATCTATATGATTGAAAATTACTATCATAGTTTTTGGTTTATAAACTTACTAGTTAACAAATATTTTTTGAAGACCACAAATAATAAAAAATCATGGACTTCTGGCTTGGTGCCTGTGGCTCAAGCAGCTAAGGTGCCAGCCACATACACCTGAGCTAGTGGGTTCGAATCCAGCCGGGGCCCGCCAAACAATAATGACAGCTGCAACCAAAAAATAGCTGGGCGTTGTGGTGGGCGCCTGTAGTTCTAGCTACTTGGGAGGTGGAGGCAGGAGAATAGCTTAAGCCCAGGAGTTGGAGGTTGCTGTGAGCTGTGATGCCACGGCACTCTACCCAGGGCAAGAGCTTGAGGTTCTGTCTCAAAAAAAAAAAAAAAAAAAAAAAAAATCATGGACTTCACAGGTATAGAAGATGTCTTCAATAGGTGCCAAAACCCAGATTGACAAAATTCCACTAGAGAACACTGTTTTTCACCCGTAACATACTCTATTTTTCATTTACTCATGACTTCTAATATAGGTTGAATATACCACATTCAAAAATTCAAAATAAAAAATTTAAAATTTTTGAGCTTTTTTTTTTAACATGATGCCCAAAGGAAACATTCATTGGAGTATTTTGAATTTTCAGGTTAGTGTGCTCAACCCATACATTAACTGTACAATGCAAATATTTCAAAATAAAAAAAAATCTGAAATCTAAAACATTTCCCTTATTTTGAGACAGAATCTTACTTTGTTGCCCTTGGTAGAGTGCTGTAGCATCATAGCTCACAACAACTTCCACCTCTTGGGCTCAAGCCATTCTCTTGCCTGAGCCTCTCGAGTAGAGCTAGGACTACAGGCACCGGCCACAACACCCGGCTATTTGTTAGAGATGAGGTCTCGCTCTGGCTCAGGCTGGTCTTGAACCAGAGAGCTCAGATAATCCACTCACTTTGGCCTCCCAAGTGCTAGGATTACAGGTGTGAGCTACTGCGATTAGCCCTAACATCTCTGGTCCTAAGCATTTTGGATAAGGAATACTCAACTTGCAGTGTCAATGAATAGAGGATTTCTAAACGAATTTTAGGAGTCTGTGAATCCTTTAGAAATTATGTGCGGTATCTTCTATACATATTTTTATGGGAAAGATGCTTAGTTTTGATCAGAATCTCAAAAACTTGATCACCAAAAATACTCAACATATAAAATGTAGAGAGGAAGAACCAGTAAGAAAAAGAAGTCACAAACGTGCAAGATATAAAAATTAAAATACTGTGACCTGACAATCTGAATGTATATAAATATCTAGGTTTTAGTAACCATGGCATTAATTACCAAATGGAAATGAACAAGAAAAGGCGGTAGAACAAATTAAAAAAATAAAAGACATTAAAAACAAATCTGAGGTGTACTACATAAAAACAGTACAATACTAAATAGCAAATTCTGTTTCATTATAAAGTCATCTTTTAAGTTACTCTTGACTAGGGGGAAGGAATAATAAAATGGGCTTTTAAACAAGAACAGTTTAACTTGTGTATTTAAGTATGTCATTTAAGTGATATCCTATGTCATTTAAGTAATATCCAAGTTTTTACCTGCTGCTCGTGATAAACTCTGAGAGCTCTTTTTACATTGGACACTTTTGGAGAACGAATAGGAAGAGTTTTTATTTCCGATGCTGTAAGAGTACTCAAATCACCAATTGTTTTTATATTCTTGGCTCTAATGAGTTGTCCCAGGCCTCTTGCCCTGAACAAAAAATAAAAAGGAAAAAAAAAAATCATGGTTTTATTTATATGCCATTTCCAAGAGCTTATCTCATTGTATTGCCCCTTAAATTCTATGATAAGTTTGTTTACACAGGCCCACCTAGCGCCACAGTGAGAATAGGTATGTGTGTGTGTGTATATATATATCTCTCTTAAAATCTGAATCTAAAATACATGTTTGGCATAAGCAATAGCACTGGAAACAATCTAAGACTATATAGTATACCTCATACTTTACATATGTTATTCTCTTTCATACACAGATTCGCAGCTTTCCTTGAGCATACATAACAGTTTCCTAAATGGTGGATCATAGCTCAGGCTCCTCGCTCGGATTTTTTTTTCTTTAACCTCTCCTAACCTAACCTAGACTTTTCATTTTCCCCCTCCCCAGTTGCTATAATCAGAAGTGGACTCAGGGCTGTGCATAATTTGCTCGCACCTGTAATCCCAGCACTTTAGTAGGAGTCTGAAGTGGGAATATGCCTTGAGGCCAGTAGTTTGAGACCAGCCTGGGTAACAATGTGAGAATATTCTATTAAAAAAAAAAAAAATTACCCAGGCATGGTGGCACACGCCTGCATTCCTAGCTGCTCAGGAGATTGAGGCTGGAGGATTGTTTGAGGTTACAATGAGCTATGACTGTGCCACATTGTACTCTAAGCCTAGGTAACAGGGAGGACCCTGTGGCCAAAGGAAAGAGGAAGATAAAGAGAAAGAGAAAAGGACTTGGTACGCCTAACATACTGCATTACTGAATCATTACATTCTTTGAAGAAGTTTTAGAACACTTCATCTTTGGCCATTACGCTGTGATAGGGCGCCTGGTAATACAATTAAAGATGAAGTACCTCAAGGCATCACAAGCTACTTGAAGCATTATTTTATCAAGATACAGTAATCTAAAATAGCTAGAATAGCCTAGACACAAGCATTTAAGTTTCCAAGACTCAAATCAAGGAAATAAACTTTTTTTTTTGAGACAGAGCCTCAAGCTGTCCCCCTGGGTAGAGTCCCGTGGCATCACAGCTCACAGTAACCTCCAACTCCTGGACTCAAGAGAGTCTCCTGCCTCCGCTTCCCACAGGTGCCCACCACAACACCTGGCTATTTTTTTTGGTTGCAGCCTTCATTGTTGTTTGGCGGGCCCGGGCTGGATTCGAACGTGTCACCTTAGGTGTATGTGGCTGGCGCCTTAGCCACTTGAGCCACAGGTGCCGAGCTGGAAATAAACTTTTAATTAAAAATAAAATAAACATAAAAGAGCTCATGAACAAGTTTTATGTATGTGAACCTCTTTCTTCCTATACATGCTCACATTAGCTGTGTGATTTTGGTGGTAATCTTCACATAAAGTGGAAATGATACTCAGATTCCTCAGTGTTTACACTAGGACTAAACAAGATAATAAATGTAAAGAGTTCAACACAACACCTGAAATGTTAATCACATATTTATTATATTAGGGCAACACAGGAAATATTTATTATCTCTGGCCCACCTTCCTAGCTACATTTTTACTTCTTTTTTTTTTTTTTTAGACGGAGCCTCAAGCTATCCCCCTGGGTAGAGTGCCATGGCATCACAGCTCACAGCAACCTCCAACTCCTGGGCTCAAACGAGTCTCCTGCCTCAGCCTCCCAAGTAGCTGGGACTACAGGCGCCTGCCACAACGCCTGGCCATTTTTTGGTTGCAGCCATCATTGTTGTTTGGCAGGCCCAGGCTGGGGATTCGAACCCGCCACCTTAGGTGTATGTGGCTGGCGCCTTAGCCGCTTGAGCCACAGGCGCCAAGCCTACATTTTTACTTCTAAAAAAGTTATGTCAGAGTAGGGTACCTCAACTATAACCACTCACCACATATTTGATGTAATCTGAGGTAAAATTATGTCAACTGGTGCCACACAGTTCACCAAAGCTGGGTAAACACTTTCCATTGGACATGGCATGGATTCTTTGGCCATTTCTGCAATCTTGAACAAATTTCAAAAGCCATTAAATAGAGGTTACCTGACTGAACATGAAAATATAAAGTTACATGAAAACTAAAGCACTTCTTACTAAACACTTCTTTGAGCTCTTAAATTTAGGGCTACGTGATCCTGGGGACAGAAATCCTTTGATTGAAGTGGTATTATGCTAGACAGAAGAAAGGAGAGAGAAAAAAAAAACTCAGAACCCTAGGTAACTATAATTGAACAATTTTATTTTCACAATCTAAAACTCAATAATTCTTTAAAATTTCAGAAAACATAAGACTGATCCACTACCTAACCAATTACTTGCTGGATCTTTATTGACTCTACCCACTTTTTCTCTTTATATCTGCTTACTATGTTCTTATAAAAGAATATATCCCAATCACAGAATTTGCTTCTCAAGTAGTTCTTTTTAAGACAAATCATGAACATGCCATTCTGTGTCTGTATACATCTATGTATATTTTAAAGCCAATAGCTTACCTTAGATTGTGCAGTAGGAGAAGTTTTAGCACTTTTTACTACGGGGGAACTATTTGAAGAATGAGACCTAACAACAGAGCATCGCCTATCAATGTCATCTGCCAATCCTGCTTGGTATATCGGGTCTGCAAAGGAGACACGGCGAACCTGAAAGCATAGGTCAGGCTTTTATTTAAGAAAATTAAAGTCTAAAAAAATTGAAACTATAAATTCTCATTATAAGGTTACTAAAAAAAGAACATGGACATTACTAAATATAGAACATTTAGTTTCTAGCTAAATTTTGTTGGAAGCCAAGTCCCAGGACTGCTTTCACAGGTATTACTCAATACCAGTTCATCCTAATTATCTAGATCTTAAACTGCCTCTGCATAATAGAACACCAAAGACTGTGAAACACACAGTAGTAGGAATTCAACGAAATTGCACGTGGCAGTTAAAATTGTATAACCTCACTCTAATAACCTTATGGGATTAGGTATTAACTACTTATAGGATTAACTACTAAAAAGATCTCAAGGAACAATATGAAGAAGTAAAAACAAGTAACTGTCCTCTGGTATATCTGACTAAGCTCTATTCTAAACTCTTTGAAGGTACCAGACTCAGAAATGGGGTACAATTTTTGTTTCTCTTAGGTGCAACTTGAAGTAATTCTGGTCTTTTCTAAATACCTACAGGTAGTTGCTCATTCAGCTATTTAATATAAACACACAATAGAGCACTTTATTCCATTAGTATGTTTTTATGTATCTTCTCATCTTGATTTCTAAGAGCGGGCAGTTTCTATACATACCTGCTACAGAAAACTATAGTCCTAAATAAATATTAAGCATGAACCACTATCAATCAAAAAGCAACTAGTTAACTTCTATTAACAATCTAAAGCACACAGAAAAATTTGTTAGAAAAATTTCAGAGCCAAAACCACCAAGAAACAAATTACCAAAAACTCCCCAAAAGTCATCAATCCTAATGCACTCTACCTTCACAAACTTTTGAAGGATTTTTATGGTTTATTAAACTTAAGATTCTTAAACAAACAAAAAAACCTCAAAAACTAAGAATAACCTGTATACAATAGAAAACAAAAGCTCATGAGTTGTTAGGTCTTCCTAAATTGATAACCTCTGAACTCTCAGAAGAATTCTCAGTTATCTTGGAAAGTTGAAAAGTCCTAAGAGTACCAAACAGGGATTAAGAAGGTAAGTTTTCAAAATGTGCTTGCTGAATACAAAAGGCAAGATGTCATGTTTATACATAAGAGCATTTATAACACGTATTCTATGCTAAAGTGCAGGTTCAACTTCAAAACTAAGAAATGTTAACATCACACTTTTTCACAACAGACAAAGCCAAGCTGTGCAGCACATGTTACTTCTCCTTTTAAAACTTTTTTATTTATTCATCCAACAAATTATAAGCAAGGTATAGGGCCAAAAGCCAAAGCAGATATATAGATAATCCATGTTTTTTTCTAAACTAAAGGGGCTACACTTTAGCTCAGAAGATGGGATATAATTAAAAATCACATCCACAAACTGATTAAAGTATAGCTTAACAAGATTTTTCCCCTTCAAATTAGATATGGTTGGGGCAGCGCCTGTGGCTCAAAGGAGTAGGGCACTGGCCCCAAATGCTCGAAGTGGCAGGTTCAAACCCAGCCCCGGCCAGAAACTGCAAAAAAAAAAAAAAAAATCTGTTAAATTAGGCATGGTCTTGTGGCTCATGCCTGTAATCCTAGCACTCTGGGAGGCCAAGGCGGGTGGAATGCCTGACCACAGGAGTTCGAGACTAGCCTAAGCAAGAGCGAGACCCCTCTCTAAAAATAGCTGCACATTGTGGTGGGCGCATATAGCCCCAGCTACTTGTGAGTCTGAGGCAAGAGAATTACTTAAGCCCAAGAGTTTGAGGTTGCTGTGAGCTATGATACCGCAGCATTCTACCAAGGGTGACAAAGTGAGACTGTGTCTCAAAAAAAAAAAAAATTACCTACATGGTCTGGAAAAGAAATAGTTCATATAAACACCTAGGTAAAATAGCTTGATGTCCCAGCACACAGTAAGTGCTAAACTTGCTTTATTAATGGCAATCAGTGTTACCTGAGCTCCTAAATCTGTTCCTCATATGATACAATGGTATGAGGAGCAGAAAAGATGTTAAGAGACTTACCAATCTTACCAAAGGTGAACAATGCATTCAGCTTCGTTTTCCCTACCTTGTTAATAGGTGATGAGATCTCTTCCTCCTGGGGCCTTTTTAGTCCTCGCTTTAAAATGCTGGTGGATGGAGAAGCCAAAGGCGACCAGACACAGCGTGTCTGCATGCCACTAGGACTGTCATTTGCTGATGCAAGCAAAGGATCAAGTTCCCTTAATTTTTGAGGAGATGCATTATCTTCTATTACCAGTTCAGAGATACCCGTTTCAGATGTCAGAGATTTCGATGGCTCCTCCAATCTCTCTGAAGGGCAAACTTCCTGTAAAATATCATTTCCCACTACCATTTGATTGTCATCTGCTTTTATTTCTTTAGCTGTATTAAGTTCAGTATCTGTTTCAATTTTATTACAGTCAACCTTTTCTTCTTTAGTGCTCATTTCAAGTGTGTCAGAAACAAAGTTGTCCATTTCTACATTCAGTCTTTTTCTCTGAGTTTCCTCAGATCTACAGGTTTTGATGGATACATCCTCATCTTCTCTTTCACTGAGGTGGTCAGGTTCAGTATTCACCTCATCAATCACTGTTTGTTCATAATTTTCCATTTCAACATTCATTTCTTCAAATGAACCTTCATCAGATATATCACTTGCTCCATCTAGTTCTCCAACTGGTGTTTGTTCTGGTATCTCAGTCTGAGTATTCACTGCTATAGGTATAGTATTATCAGAATTAAATTTCTCAGTTGCCACTTCATTGGCATTCAGTTCTTTAGATATGTCTGCTTCAAATTCACCACTTCTTCCACTGTTTTCCTCTGTTGCTGCTGGTTCAGAAATACCAGTTTTGGCGCTCTGCTGTTCAGAGATGATAGCTTCAGATTTATCAATTTGTACACTGAATTGCATGGTTTCTACTTCCTCTAGATGGGATTCTGTTATTTCACATGCATTTTTTCCAACATTAACAACACTCTGAAGGCTTAAATCCCTTTTCAGGGTAATTTCTGATTTTTCTTCTTTAGTCTCTAAAGAACATTCCTGTGAGGTATCTTTGGAATCACCTAAACAAGGGCCAACTGCTATAAATTTTTTATTAGGTGGCTCTTGGCTTTTAAGAGGCATCACTTCACTAGAATCCCTATCACAAATTTCCTCTTTAAAATTTATCATCTTGGAAGGAAGAGTTTCTTTAGTAGTATTTTCTTTCATTTCAGTTTCAGATTCAATTAATGAATTATTAATAGTATCATTATCCTCCTTGAGACCCAAATGAAAATTCACACTGTGGTGCTCATCTAAAAATTTTACTTCAGAATATACATTAGCTTTTGAAGTTTCTGATACAGTTACTGGTGCCTGTACATCTATCTTTGCTGTTTCACTAATCTTCACATCATAATTTTCTGTGTTCTTTAACCCAACTAATGACTTCTCTTGAAGTTGTAATTTTTCCCCACAGCAATCACAACCTTTAGATCTCCTCACCCTTCTACTTCTCTTATGCTGACATTCAAGGGTTTGTGGAGTTTTTTCATGAAGCAAAGACATGTCTGATGTCTGTATTTTTGAGGATTCTCCTACACTATTGTTATCAACACAGTCTCGCTTATGTAATCTCTTATTGGCATTTCTAGTCCTTAGATTTGATTCTGGCAGGGGTGGACTTGAAAAACAGTATTCTTCACATTTGCTAGTTTTACTTTCTCTCTCATGTATATTTGCTCCATCATCAGAAACTTGTAAATCTGAAGATATAGAATCCTCAAGTGTTGCAGTACTACTTTCATCTTTTTTTTCACAAACCTGAGACTTAATGTCTACTTCAGAACTTGCTTTACAATCATGTGTCTGATTTTCAGCTTTTATACAGTCCAGTTTTACCATTTTCTCCTCTTGATCTTCAACATCAACACTGTCATTGCTTTTACTCTTCCATTTTCCAGATCTCTTCTTTCTAGAACCTTCTTCTTTTGCCTCAGAACTATCAGATTCTGAGTTTTCAATGCTGGAAAGAAAACCCTGAGATGCTCTTCTTGTTTGATACCGTGTTCGGCCCCTTACTGGTTTCTCAGAGGACTTATGTGCAATGTCCTGGACACCATCTCCCTCTGACTTAATATTCTCAGGGTCTGGCTTGCCTTTATTTTGGTCAATTTCTGCATTAGCACTAGTTTCCCCTAAAGTCTTCTCATGTAAATTATTTCCTTTCTCAATTAAATTTTCCTGTACAATTTGTTCACAAATCAGTTTTTGCTTAGGCAGTACATCTTCTTTTGTATGCAATGGACTCTTCTGAAAAGGTTTTTCTTCTTCCTTACGTCTTTCCCTTTTTTGATGATTGTTTTCCTTATCTTGACTATCAGCGGTAGATTCTGATATTTCTGAACGTCGCCTTGAAGATCGCCTAAGGGTTTTTTGGTTTGGAGTTATGCTACTCTGACTATCCTCATTTACCATTTGGTCTGATGGTATTACTACTGGGGGTGTATTTTCTTTGGATTCCAAATTAATTTCTACATTTTTCTCTTCTACAGTATTGTTTTCCAACGTGATAGCATTTTCAACTGTTGATTTAAGCTTGGTATCTTCGTACTCTACTGCAGATTGAGAAAGATGAACCTGATTATCTGATGTATGTTCTGTTTGATTAACCAAACAGGGTGGGTTATTTTCTAAGATTACTATGCCTTCAATAGATTCCTGAGTATTTTTGTCCTGTTCAGATCTCATTATGGGCTTATACCTTTTATTCCCTGCTTGTTCAGCTTTACCCACTCTCCGGCCTGATCTCTTAGTTGCAGTCGATGCTTTTTCAGAATCAGATTTTGAAAGAGTCATTTCTCTTCGCTTTGCTTTTCGTGGAATATCTGTTTTAATCATGTTTTCTTGGTTATTTTTCACTGTAATAGTTGATGACATGTCATTCAAGGGGGATGGGCTAAAAGGTCTATTTTCTGAACCATCAAACTTCTCCAACGTAATAAAAGTTTGCCTCCGAGGGTGTGGGGAAGTTCCAGAAATAGTGGCATTAGCAACTGAGCTACTGCTGACAAAAGAATTTTCTGTACTAGATGTACATTCGGTTGAAGTTTTCTTTGATGGAATTAAAGCTTTTTTTCTAGAATCATTTTTTTTAGCACTTAGCTTTTCTGGACTGGTTTTGCCAACAGAACCACACTCATTATTTGAAGTCTTTTCAAGATGTTCACCCATACCACAGTTTTCCGTGACATCTTGGGGAATGACATTATCACTCTCCATTTGTTCCTCCTGCACAGAAAAAGTACATATAAAGATTAACCAGCAAACAAGACTGACTTTCTGGGAAAATTTTGTGTAGATTCCAATAAACATTCCATAGGTAGTGGCAGATGCCTATTAATCTGCATTCCTAATTATACTCAATAAATGCCAAATACATTTATTTTAAATACACATACCAGCTATAACTCTATTTGTACCTAGGGAGTAAAGAGCTTATAGAATAAATCTTAGAACCAATTAAAAAAAGGCTTACAGACAATCTCATAGCAGTTTAGGAGACTCTTTAATGGCCAGATGATTCTAATAATCCCAAAATATGAAATACCAAATATACCTCAAACATCATTTTGGAATCCTCCTTTTGTTTTCTGCTTAAAGTAGGAGTTTCCCTGAAATAAATAATTATATGAATTAAAATGTTGATTTTATAATTACAGAAATAAAAGTTTGACAGCTTCCATACTTACATAGACTCTTCCTGACTGTACTGAGAAAATAAGGTATCTTGTGAAATATCCAAATTATTATACATGGTAGGAATATCACACCTGAAAAAGATTTTACTTAAATTAACTCCAAAACTCTGATGCTATACTCCAGTTATAAATGAAAACTTAGAATTCTACCACTAAGCGGTCTTTTTGTATACTTTCCAGACATTCCATGAAATAAGCAATCTCCCAATCTACTGCTTCAGTAAAGCAATTCAATTTGTAATAAACATTTGGTACATTACCTTGTATCTATAGGTAGGTAGTATTATACATTAAGAAATTTTACGTATATACAGTGTATATGTTTTGACATTAAAATTTGGCATACACAGTGTCTTAGTTCTAAACAGTTATAAAATGCCTACAAACCTCTTTGTTTTGAGCACTTCTTTTTGATGTTCAGTTAGTATTTTTTCCTTCATATCTTTTCCTTCTGGAGGTATAAACACGAAGTCAGTAGACTTTTCTTCTTCTAAAAGTGTTTCACTCTTTACTTTTAGAGATGAAGATTCAACTTTCGGCTAAAGATTAAAAAAAGGTAAATGTACATTTTAGCTTCCAAATTATTTTCCAACATTTCCATCAATCTGTTTGCTAATACTGATATAGTTTTTCAATAACGATTGGAAAAGTTTGAAGTTCAAGCCCATATAACATTCGTGACCATTAACAAATTAGTATAAAACCAGGTGCAGTGGCTCATACCTATAAATCTCAGCACTGGGAAGCCAAAGTGGTTAGACTGCCCAAGCACAGGAGTTTGAGACCGTCTAAACAATAATAAGACTGGTCTCTTAAAAATAAAAATTAAAACAAAAAAATATGGCTTGGTGCCTGTGGCTCAAGCGGCTAAGGCACCAGCCACATACACCTAAGGTGG